TGTTTCCTTTTTTTTTTTTTTTGGCTATTAAGACTACTTAGAACATTTGTGTGCATGTCTTTGTAATGATATATGCTTTTCTTTCTTTTGGGTGAATATGTAAAAGTGGAATCTCTGGGTCATTTGGTAAGTTTATGTTTAACTTTTTAAGAAACTGCCAGACTGTTTTCTAAAGTAGCCATAACACTTTATATTCCTTGTCATTTGAATTTTTAAAAGTTGTGTACGTTGCTTCTTATTTATTTTAAAGTAGTTGTACTTCTACACCATTTGTTTAAAGTACCCTAAGAACCTGAGTCTAGTAACAGACATCATGACTTCAGAGAACTCCAATTGGCCCTCTACCTGCCTTACACCTGTTAACAAATTAATTAAAATTAAAGTATTCCATGCCACCATAACACCCTCCTTGGAAGAGGGTATATGCCATTTAAATATGTTTAGTCATAAAACAAAACTCTGTTTTAAAGTGCCATGAAATGTTTTTAAAACATTTAAATCTCTGTTCCTTTTGCAATTTATGAGGAATAGATGCAATTTTTTTTTCCCCTTTATGGCTGTTGTATTTCCCGGCACCACTTATTTAAAGTCCATCTTTTCACAAGTATTTGAGATGCTACCTTTATCGTATGCTAAATTTATATTCATATATTTACTTCTAAATTTTAAAAATTGTTTTAGTGGTTGATGTATTCATATGCCAATATTACAGCTTTTTTTAAAAAAAACTTTGTATTTTCAAACAACTTTGGACTTACAGAAGAGTTGGAAACATAGTACAGAGAGTTCCCATATACCCTTCTCCCTGCTTCGCCTGATGTTAACATGTTACGTATCTTTACTATAATGATCAAAACTCATAAATTAACCTATTGGTACAATACAGGTAACTACATACTGTTTTAATTATAAAGGCTTTGTACAGTATTTTAGTATGTGGTAGATCTACTCCATGCTCTTCTTTTTTCATATTTTTCTATTTTTGCTTGCTTGTTTTTTTCAAATGTCTGGCTGCAGAAAACAAAACAAAAACTAACCTTATATATTATTTTTACTGAGACCATAAAATCTATAAATTAGGGAGAAGTAGCATCTTTATGATGCTAAATCTTTGTATACAAGATTAAGATACATTCTTTACATTTGCTCAAGTCTACTTTTCTTTTTTTCAGAAGTGTTTTATAGTTTTCCTCGTATATGTTTCCTCGTATATGACACTTTTTGTTCAGTTTATGCCTAGATACTTCATTTTTTTGTTGTAAATGGGATCTTCCATTTCATCTTCTATTTGCTTTCTCTTTGCACATTATTATAAAGGAAAGATTTCTGTATATTTTGTACTACATTATATTACTAAATTATCTCATAATAATATTTAGTTGATTGTTTTGGATATTCCAGGTATGTAATTATATCATCTGCCAGTAGTATTCCTTTCTGATTTTTTCATTCTAATTCCATTTGTTAATTTCATTGTGTTGATTAATATTATGAGTAATAGAATAAAAATGGACCATCTCTGACTTTGCAACTGTATCTCGTGTTTCTGCCTTAAGTATGCTGCTGGCTTTAGGGCTGATATATATTATGTTAAAGAAGTGTTCTTTTTTATTCAGTATTTTCAACAAGAATGGGTATTGAATTTGTAAAATATCTTATCTTTGGCATGATTATATGATTTTTTTTCTGTGTAGCTCTGTTATGTTTAATGATATAATAGTTGATTTTCTAATACTGGCAGCTTTTTAATTGTAACTTTCATTAGATTTTCTATGTTTTGGGGGTTAGCTTTGAAAAATTGTATAATTTCTAGTAAGTTATTTCATTCACATTTTAAAATTTGCATAGAATTGAGCAAAGTGGTCTTTTATGATTTTGGTTCCTGACTTCCTATTGATATTTTCCTCTTATTTCATTACCCTCTGGAAGTGTTGACAAATATATATTTGTTTTTTCATTAAAGCAAAACAAGAAAAGCTGCTCCATTAATTTGAAAAAATAAAAGGATCCCAAACTTTTTAAATTGGTAATAATGAGTCCTCCACATTTAATTATAATTGAGTATCTTTTGCCTGTCTGAAACTTTTCTGTCTCCTTGCATTTTTTTTTTTTTTTTTTTTAAGAGATGACTGGTAAGGGGATCTTAACCCTTGACTTAGTGATGTCAGCACCATGATCTCCCAAGTGAGCCAACCGGCCATCCCTATATAGGGATCCGAACCCGTGGCCTTGGTGCTATCAGCACTACACTCTCCCGAGTGAGCCACAGACCGGCCCTCTTGCATTAATTTTTAATGACTTGTAAATTTGCTTTTCAGTGAACATTTGGACGAAAGTCTAGATAATGGTTCTTTTCCTTTCTTCTCCCCTAACCCACACTTATAGGGTGGAGGATCTCTTTAGTGGGCCTCTTAACAACAGAAAAACAAATTGGGATGTTTTCATGTTCTCAGTAAAGTGAAAGATTCAGAAGTTTTCCCCATTGCACAAGACATGGCAGCCACAATGTGATCACACAAGTTTCAAATTTTTAAAAAACTGTCGAGTGACTTTTGCAGTTAGGATATACTTGATATGAAATTCTTGTGATTGCATAAAAGGCATTCTGAAATAAATTTAGGATTTCACAAATTTTGCATAAAAGCAACTTTGGGTTAAGGAAGGGTGGCTACAACATCCTAAAAGAATATAAGATACGGTATTCCTCCATGAAACATCTTATTTTTTTGATAAAATTCGATGAAACACCTGTGAGAGCAGAAAGGACTTTGATGATTGAGATTCTGGGGTTGGGGGTGAGCAGAGATGATCAAAAGTTTAATTGTCCGGGCCGGCCCGGTGGCGCACTGCTACAGTGCGCCGCTTGGGAAGCGCAGTGGCGCTCCCGCCGAGGGTTCGGATCCCACATGCAGACCGGCCGTTCACTGGCTGAGCGAGGAGCGGGGCCAACACCGAGGGTTGCGATCCTGTTGCCGGTCCCGGTCCAGTACGGGTGTGACACTGAGGGTTGCGATCCGTTGCCGGTCACGAAAAAAGACAAGAAGACAAAAAAAAAAAAGTTTAATTGTCCATCTGAAGGACTCACTTTTAGTAGTCTCTGCTCATCTTGCCCATCTGGCTCTTTTTGTGATTGTATAAGGTTATAACCTCTATGTCTCAACATGTCCGTGTGTGCCTGTTTTTTCCTCTGTATTACCTTTTATTTTGTTTTATTATTTTAGTGTAAAATTACCTGTTAATTTTATTTGAAATAATTTTAAGGTTTATATTATCAGAATTCTGTCAGATACTCACCTTTGTCATATGGTTTTTAATTTGCTGTGTATTTCCAGACTCACTTATTAATGGTATGATGTAGAACAGAAAAATGACCACTCCTATGAATTTCTCTCTTATTTTTGAGATGTCTCCTCTGCCATATTTCATGAGGCTGAATCACTTTTTTATTTCTCTTCCATTGGTCAGGGGAGATGGGTTTTAACCGTAGATCAACATTAAGTCTTAGTTATGTTTCATGTGTACTTTCATAATATAAAATATTTAGATAGCACCTTTATTTTTCAGCCTATCTTTTCTTACTTAATCCTAACAGTATCCCTATAAGTTATATTAAAGTAGGTAGTAAATGTCCATTTACAAATTATGAAATGAATTAAAAACAAGAGGCAAAGGTTAAACCATGACTAAGCCTGAAATTAAGTCCCAAGTCTCCAAATACAAGTCCAGTTCTCATTCTTTTCGAACATAGACTTTTGTAGGTGATCCCTACAGCCAGGACTCCCCTTCCTCCTCAGGTGTCATTGTATTGTACCAGGTTTATCCTCGACTCTAGTAATTGTAGAATTGGCTAGATCTGAGTCTCTTGATTTCTCTCGTTATGGCCTTCCAGTTGCTGAACTCCAATATTGTCGTGACTGGCCCGTTTATCAGCTGTCTGCCTTATTCTATGTAGAGTAGATTTCATGTTACAGAAGCATTTTTTATGTCAAGATCTTTAAGTATTGCTTAAGTGTAATCTAGGTAATACTTCTTAGCTATTAAATAATTAAGATAGGCAGAATTTTACTTATTCCAAAGTAAGTTTGGCATTAAACTGAAAAGAGAATCTGGGTCTCCTAAGTCTTACTTAGTTACTACATCTCCAAGCATTCTATAATTCTTCATACTGAGGACTTCTTACTACCTGGCTATCTTCTGAATCTTCCTTGTGTCCTGTCTTCTTTCACAGTCATGTAATTAGCTGTCTTACTGTGCTTTACTTCTTTTTGATAGTCTGTACTCCTAGGATCATTCATTTTCTTTAAGCATCTTTTGGCCTCAACTTGAATTCAGTGGGTCCCAAGGTCACATATGCCATGGGATGGCCTATTATATTGATTTTTTTGAATAAATGTAACAAAACTTTATATTAGTAATTCTTATAATCTTCCAGTCAAAAAGATTTAAAGCCTCAATCTAATGCTCTCCCTTGCGTTTATTTGTTAAATAACTACCTTTTAATGAGATCTTCTTAGAACTTCAGAACACTTCACCATGGATGATATTTAAGACTAGCTTTTTATCAAATGAAAAGTGATGGATTGGCGTATGTAATCTCATTAATTCATTCTGCCTCTAAAATTCTGTGACTATCAGACAAAATCCAGAAATGAATTAATTTTACTAATATAAATGAACTTTTTATCAATGATTACATTCCCTAAGTTTTGTGTATAAGACAGGGTAAAATATTAAACCTTGAAAAAATTCTTACCCAATAGAAATCTTATCCAGTAATGAAGTTCTCTCTTCTGTTTTGTCTTCAACTAAGATCCCAATGTGTCATCCTCTTAGAAAGATAATGCTATTTGAACAATGTTGTTTTGAGACCAAAACTAGCATACTGACAATTCTTTTTATAAAATGTCTCAAAAGTTTTATTTCCTTTATCCCTTTCTTTTAAGACAAGCAGCCACTATATTTTTTAGTAGTGAATTTCAAAATCCTTTTTAACTTTATAGGTCCAAGGGTAGCCAAGGATGGCTGCAGCTTCATATGATCAGTTGTTAAAGCAAGTTGAGGCACTGAAGATGGAGAACTCAAATCTTCGACAAGAGCTAGAAGATAATTCCAATCATCTTACAAAACTGGAAACTGAGGCATCTAATATGAAGGTATCAAGACTGTGACTTTTAACTGTAGTTTATCCACTTTTATTCAGTATTTCTTCTTCTAAACTTGGGGTAAGACACCTTACTTACTTGGAAGTATATTTTAAATTAAGCAGTAATATGTAAATTCTTTCTTGCAAAAGTTAGCATTTATATTTTTAAATAAGATGTACTGAATCCAGCCAGTGAGTCACATAAAAACAATAAATGTAAAAGCCCAGTGACTAGTCATTTCTTGTTTTTAAGCTGAAAAATAAAAGACCAACTTTAGCATCACTGTACTGAGACAAGGTTTTCTGTGTAGTTTGTAGAAACCAGCCTCACAATTTTAGACTATATCTCAAATATTAAATAAAGCCTTTCTCCCCAATTCCTTCAGATCTTAAGTGCTGCAATGATAGGTGATCAAGAAAATCAGGATGCCCTAAGTGAGCCAAGCACTTAACTGAAAGTCAGTATCTGGCCTATTCCCGGCTTTTCCACAAACTGAGCTACATGACCTCTGGTTACCCTTCAGGACTTCTTGTCTTACTGGAAAATATGGGCATCCACTAGCCTAGATGATTTCCATGGCACTGTCAAGCCCTAAAATCGATTTGCCAAATAGCATTGAAAAACTGTCGGGCCAGCCCGGTGGCGCACTGCTACAGTGCGCCGCTTGGGAGTGCGGCGGCGCTCCCGCCGAGGGTTCGGATCCCACATACAGACGGGTTCCCGCTCACTGGCTGAGCGAGGTGCGGGCGCAGCACTGAGGGTTGCGATCCCGTTGCTGGTCCCGGTCCGGTACGGGCGCGACACTGAGGGTTGCGATCTGTTGCCGGACACGAAAAAAAACAAAAAAGAAAAAAGAAAGAAAAACTGTGATAACCTCCAAGAAAAATTATAAAATATTTAGTCTGTAGTGGGGAAAATATGTTCTAGTTTCAAAATAATCAGGGTTAAAACTAGCTGTTTTAATTCCCAGTTACTTAGGCAGATTCTCTTCTCACTGAATTTATTCAGTTTATAGAATTGGAGATCATCAACAAAAAGGTTACTTCCTTCCCTTTTAAAAAATTCTTCCTGCTTTGCATTCTTTCTGCCCCTTGGCTATTTTAACATGTCAGTTCCTGATTCTGTTCTTTCTGTCCACCCACTACTCTTATTCCTTAATCATTTCCTGTTCTGTCCTAGATCTTCTTTTCTATGCATTTCAAGGCCAGGCTTTTGTGTATCATTGAAGTAACTATTTTTGCTCTTTATATTATATTATGTAAACTCTTCTGCCCTTTATATTCAGTATCATAACAGTTCAAACTTTTGCTCATATGTACCATTCTTTCTATGTTTCTATCAATCTTTTCTACTCTGATTGCCTATTTCTATGGTAAAACTGTACCCAGCAATAACAGATCTCCAAGATACTTCAAATCCTTTTGGAAATAAGGTAGACTATAAATATAAACATACATTTTTTTTCTTGCCATAAACTATGGGTGACTTTAAAAACACCTGAATCAGTTACCAAATAGGTTAAAAAAGAGTAGTTTGGTATTTTAACACTTATCAGCACAATACATCTCAAATTGTTATACGTGGCATGTGTTTTTAAAAGTTTAAAGATACAGAGTTAAAATATTCTTTTATCTGCTACTTTGGTGTGTTGTATTTTACAGAGAACTGCTCCTGGCAGGCCTATCTGAGAACTCTGTAGTTTCTTTAAGTTTTTGTTTAACTACATAAGCAAATTCAAAATTAATTTTGGGGAGACATTTTAACCTACCCTTAGATCCGACTCCATGCTGAAGTGGAATGTCCCTCAGGTAACAATACAAGTCACACCCTAAAAATTTCTGCAATGGAATGTCAGGTTGAACATTTATCTGTGTGGTGTCATATATGTCAGGAATATTGGCACTTCAGATATTCAGAGTTCAAGTGAATTCAACAGTGTATTTACTGATACTCAGCACATTCTTTTTTTTTTTTTTTTTTTCGTGACTGGCAACGGATCGCAACCCTCAGTGTCGCGCCCGTACCGGACCGGGACCGGCTACGGGATCGCAACCCTCGGTGTTGCTCCCGCACCTCGCTCAACCAGTGAGCGGCCGGTCTGTATGTGGGATCCGAACCCTCGGCGGGAGCGCCACCGCGCTTCCCAAGCGGCGCACTGTAGCAGTGCGCCACCGGGCCAGCCTACTCAGCACATTGTTCTGCAGACATCCATGTATTTCTTTAGGATTGGGCATATGGTATCATAGCAATTACAACCTTATAATGCAATTATTTATGTTTCTCTTCCTTAATAGGCTTTATGCAGTTAAAAGAGCATGAACTGTGACCTGTTCATTTTGTCTTTGAATATTGACTTATGAAAAGTAACTTTTGGAACCATCAGCACTTGCTACATTAAAGTTAATTTAACATAATGGTCGTTCCCCCCAGAATCACTTATTAGACTTTGGAATGCATTATATAATCTTTAGTCATGTTTCCTGATTTTTAACCTATTTACCCCAAAGAAAGTCAATGGATATCTCCTCTTACCAGATTATTTAAACTATGGAAGTCTAAAATGTATGCAGTAGTACCATCTAGTGGCAAAAGAGGATACAGCTTTGCTGTTGATTATGTGGCATTGATACAAAATGTAAAAATATTTTGTGTGAGTGTGACAGCCAGGGAAATACATGTACAAGAGTTAGGGAAATGTGAACACTGTATATTTGAGGATATTAAGGAAATATTTATTTTTTAGGTATAATGCTGGCATTTTGGTTGTGCTTAGAAAGATTCCCTGTTTAAGTATACATATTGAAATATTTACAGAAGAAATGATATATCTGAGATTTGTTTTCAAAACAAATCTAGAGTAGAGGAGTGGAAATGGCAGAAGTGGGTATGGGTGTAGACAAAACAAAGTTGACCATGAATTGGTAATTACTGAAGCGAGTGTGAATATACATGGGGATTTGTCATAGTATTCTTCATACTTATGTATATGTTTGAAATTTTCTGCAATAAAAATACAATAAAATAAAGTAGTGATTGCATGGGATTTAGATGATCAGGAATCAGATAAGTGCAAAATTATAGCTAAGCTTTAAAAAAAAAGTGTACTATATTTTTCACTCCATGGCTAGAACTAAGCCTGATTGGCTTTTAAACAAGGTAAACATGATCACGTAGAGATGTGAAGCATTTAAACTGAGAGTTGTCGTGGTGCAGGAAGAATATTTGTAGGCATATTAGTAATGAAGCACATATCTTCGTTGTATTTTGACAAAATGAAATATTTATAAATTATTCTATAAACTAAAACCTTATACATGTATTTTTTCAGAGTGTAATAAAAAAAGAAATAAAAAAATTCAGATTGACACATTTCATAATTTATTTCAAAGATTTAATTATAAAGTGTACTTGTATCTGGTAACGAAAAGAATTTATAACTATGATGAACTGAAAAAAAAACAGAAGTAGGAACTCCCCTGAAATAATACAGCTGTTCATTAATAAATATTACTGAGGAGCACAGCATATTTTATCTCCAGTGGATAATTCTCTAATGTTTCTAATATCTTAAAATGTTTTTTAAAATGCGTGAATATATAATGTGATTAACTACTTTTTTTAACCAAGCTTCCAGAACTAATAAAGAATATTTTTGTCCTTCAAAATTACATATGTATTTTAAAAGCTGCCATTTCTCAAAGTACTTTTTAGAGCATTTTATTTGTGTTGCATTTTTCTTTTAAAAGCTTTTTGAAATTGAGGACCTCTTCTAGGTTGTATACAGTATGTAGCCCAAGGCAATAGTACCACTCTACAACAAGAAAAAACTGGATAAAATACAAAAATCATACTTTAAAGACACTGGAGAAATGTATTAACTATAATTCCAAAGAGGAAAAGAGCCCTTTCTTGATGACCTGAGATCACTGTTGATTTTCTTCCCTGGAGATGTTGATCCTGGGTACAGACTAAGATTGATCATTGGCACAGGTAGAAGGATTCCACTGTGGGAAAGCAACTGTTGGAGGTCATGACAAAAGTGGGGGCAGATATGATGTAGTAGCATTCAGAAGAGCTCCAAATGCATGGCTAATTTTTACCATGGGACATTGGCTGAGTCTTGTGGTGAAGGGGACTGGGGATGTACTGGAAAGGCAGAATGTTAGGAGAAAAAGTCATGCTAGAGGGAGAAACACATTACTTTTACACAGCACATCTGTCAAAGACATTTGCCAGGTTTTGAACTTTGTGGAGCAAGATGTTAAAGACCTAAGCTCACAATCTCCAAGGGACAGAATTTTTAGGGCTAAAGAGGTAAGTGCCACCTGAGAATAAGACAGAGCTAGAAAGGTAGAGTGAAATATCCCATATTCTTGCATTGCTTTAGAGACATGCTAGAGGAAGACCGACCTACTGTATCAAACAAGGCTGGTTTTATGTTCAAGACAAATGTCAGATTTTGAGCCCATGTAGGGTAGGAAGTTAAGGGTTGAGGTGATAGAGATCTGTCATATTTCCAATCTAAATATAGAGGGACCCACTCAAAGAACTGGGAAAACCAAACCAGATGTGAATTTAACTTAAAACCGCAACTAGGTCTCAACCCATTTTCAGTTCCTGATTGGAGTCCATTCCTGATTGGATTGAGAAAATCAGGCCCCAACAGTGGAAAGGGCAAACTCTGTGAGAGAAAACACTATCATCTTATGTCTCTCTTGTTCTTGTATAGGTGATGGGCATATAATCAAAAGTTATAAGAAATGCAAAGAAACAGGAAAATGATAGCCAGGACAACAAATAGGTAATAGAAGTAAACCCAGAGATGACCCAGATGTTGAAGTTCCTTCCAATAGTCCCCCCTTATCCACGGTTTCACTTTCCAATGTTTCAGTTACTTAAGGTCAAAATTTCATGGTCCAAAAATATTACAAGGAAACTTTCAGAAATAAACAATTTGTATGTTTTAAATTGCACACTATTCTGAGTAGCATGATGATATCTCACGCCGT